GCACATGTTGACCATTATTATTATTTACGAGTGTGCATTTATCAGTGCCCAGAGATTTAACCATCTTGTCTGTGTCCGTGATGGCTGGCTAACTAATGCATGGCAAGAGCTGCCTGACCACTGTTTATCTCTTTTATACTATTTATACTTTAACTGCTCTCTTCATTATGATGGATAGGCCAGTTCAGCAGCAGAACAGACACTTTATTTATTGTACTCTTACACTGAATGAATTTTTAGATTGTGACAAGTCTACCCCGCAGCTTTTGTGTACCTTGTGTGTATGTGTGAGTAAGAGGACAGAGAGAGAATTTTAATTTTGCACATGGACTTGGGCTTTGGTTCAGGTTCAGTCCAGGCCAGCTTTGGGCTCATTTGAACTGGGGGAGATTGACCTACAGCTGAAATTTCAGGACTGAACGTACCTCTCAAGTGGACAGATGAAGACCAATGAGGTGTCAGAGGTATGCTGGATCTGGCTGTGTATGTAGGAAGGTGTTGTTTATGCTGTGTTGTTTGCAGCTGGGTTTATAGAGAACTGAGTGTGCATGTGTGCACATACAGTAGCCTGTATAGTATATATAAGTACTGCATAAACAATCCCATTGGTTTGGTGTGGCGTATTGGATCCCCTTGTTGCAGCACCGCTGAGAGGCTGAGTTTGTTGAGTGGGAATGACAGCATGCATTTATCACAAGTCTCTGCAAATTAGCATGCTAGCACACACAGAGCAGCTAGTACTTGCTCCTGGGGCTCCTGAGTTGTTATTGTGCATTGAGTGAAGGCATTATCACTGCCCTGACTTCGCACTCTGACACAGGTTAGGGCTAATCATCCCCTGTGGGAGAATCAATAGCCAGAGCAATTCACTGACAGGGAGCAGGATGGAGAGAAGAAAGCACAGAGAGGAGAAGTGGATAAATGGAATTTAGCACCAGGTGTTATTAAAGCAACATAAGGTTTTGATATTTTGGTGCATTAATTAAACATACAGTTTATTTTATGTTACTACCAACCATTTTCATAACCATTTTCTGGCCTTGAATTTAACATACTCAGTTGCTGGAATTGAACAAAGCAGTTAGAAATGTTATTAGTAACACCTGTACTTTTCTGTGACAAATGAATGTGAGTGCTGTGAACAACGCTAATCAAATTATTCCTCAGAACTGAATACCCGTTTGTGCAGGGACTAAGGACAGAGAAAAGCTGATCACTGTCATAAAAATGCAATACATTACAAATACAATATATGTGTGACTGTAAAAATAGCTTCAAATAAACTGATTAAAGTGAGTGCATTAAAAAGTGAAATTGACAAATATCAGTTTCAAAAACCAGGATACACAGTTGCAGTCTTACAGTCCTCTCTGCAGTCTCTTTGCAGCTGCTACCCACCCAAAACTCCCAGTGCCCCATAGAGAATGTGTATTTTATGAAAAAATTATTTAAAAAAAAAAAAAAAAAAAGAAAGGGTCCCCCTGGACTCTCGTTCAATCAAACAGAAGTGTTTTCTCACAAAGAATCAAGCAGCATCAGTCCAGAAGGAACACTCACTGAGACATAGCCTGTGTTTTTGTAATTAAACAAATTAAGGCACAATTATTTATCAATGAATTTATGTATTTTATTGTCAGATAAATTACTGGACCAAAAAGAAAGCCCAGTGGAGTTTCTAAAGTACAGTACAAGCACAGTAGCACACAGACACACATTCCTGAAGGTTCAAAAACAGACAAGAAAGCCAATACAGTAGCGCCTCTCTCCACCAGCCTCCCCTTAACTCCACACCCCATCTAGCTAACTGCATTTGGGCAAAGTGCCTGAACTAAAGCAAATTAATTAGGCAAACAAAGTGCATACTGAGGGAAAATTAGACCTCCATTTCTGTGGTGCATTCATCATTTTATCTTTTGTCTGGGATTTTTTTTTTTTTTTTAGCCACCGCTCTGGTGCTTGATGTTGCAGGCGGCACTCCCCACCTCCAGGGAGAAGAATAGTCTGCTATGTGATGGTGACTGTTTTGTTCAGCTTCATTAGTACAGTTTGTGGAGAGCTAAAATACTGGCTATTTAGGAATAAAACACTCCAAATATTCAAAAAGTAAAACAATCATGTGGAACTGTCAGACAATGATAGGCCAGGGAATAAAAACCATTCAAATGAGCTTTTTTTTAATTATTAAAAATTTCTTTTACAATAAATTGTCCATCTAAAACAACAGAACTATAAAAGGCTACTGAGGTTGAGGTAGTGACAAAAAAAATTGCAAATGTTTGTTGCACACTGATGAACACAGCTCACAGGGGTTAGAAATCCTAAATGACCATAATATATTATTGAATGCCAGCGTATGTAAAAGGCATGGCCGGATAATCTCTTGGGGGGCACTAGGCCCAAAATTGTTTTTGCTGTGTTGATCTCCCTTGTGCTGTTACACCCTCTGTGAGTTGTGTATGTATTGAGTCATTCCATGTTTCCTGTCACCATCTTTGTTTTAGTAAGATTAATGGACACAGCTGAGAAACTGATTAAATTTGTATTTTTCCCAGACTAGACCTGATTGTTTTTAATTCCATGTCCTTAGAAGAGTTTATAAGGATTTAGGAAATGCCTTCAGAATTTGGGTGAGTGCTGTCAAACATCAGTACAGGGTTAAAACAGTGAATATGAAGCTACCACCAGCAGATAATTAGCTTGTTCTGTCAAAAGGTACAAAAAATCTGCCTACCAACAGCACTAAAGCTCACTAATGAACACGTCAAGTCTCAGCTATTTAAAAAAATGAGTTCAGGGTATTTACAAGTTTGTTTTAAAACTATACTGATGTGTCCATACAGTATGTAACTGAGAATTAAAAATTAAAAATGTACGGTGAATAGTACTATGAAATTAATACGCATAACTTTAATACACTTTCCAGTGAAATCCCAGAAAGCACTGTTATTTGCTGTTCTCACATATCAGGTCTCTGTGTGTAAGTCAGTGTTTGTATAATATCCATAATGGGCCAGCTTTTGTCCTCATACCAGCTCCGTGAATGATGTTATTTGTGTTTTGTCTTTTCAATGAGTCATTCACCAGCTCAGAACACAAGTCAATATAAACAAACACGACAAGAAAAGACAAAGACAAGCCAATCATGGATTTAACAGATTAAGTTGCAAATACCACAGTCATGCAAACTGATAAATCGATCTCTTTGTAAAGCTAAGCTAACAGTCTTTTATGTATCGCCTCATACTGTATTTAGCAGATTGACATAACAGTGATATTTGTCTTCTCATCTAAGAAAACTAACACCAATCTTTATTTTACTTTAATTTAGAATGAGCTTTTGTTCAGCATTTAACACGGGAACTCCCATCACTTTTTATGTGTACAAGCTCCATAATAAAGGCTAACACACACTGTAGAAATCTGCGGTTTTAAACCTATCCTGTCAGATCAGAAGTGTTGCTGTGGCTCTGAAATGAACTCTGAACACTTTCAATAAAACTTTTATAGGAGCACTTAAACTTAAAGAATCAGTCAACTGGCTTTTATATTGATTGCATCACATAAATTAATGTGCAATGACCATTGTGTACATATATAGAAATATACAATGGGGATCACGAGTGTGTGAGTTAGAGGCTCTCAAGGTTGTCCCATTAAAGTTATAGCACACTTACAAAAACTTAGAGACATTCAAACAGATTTTATTTATGGAAATAGCTCAAAATATTTGACATGCTTCAAATCCACTCTGCCACATATTTAAATTGGCTCATCCTGTGTGTAAATTGAGACTACATTCTGTGTTACGGTTTACAACATACAGTGCCTTGCGAAAGTATTCGGCCCCCTTGAACTTTGCGACCTTTTGCCAGATTTCAGGCTTCAAACATAAAGATATAAAACTGTAATTTTTTGTGAAGAATCAACAACAAGTGGGACACAATCATGAAGTGGAACGAAATTTATTGGATATTTCAAACTTTTTTAACAAATAAAAAACTGAAAAATTGGGCGTGCAAAATTATTCAGCCCCCTTAAGTTAATACTTTGTAGCGCCACCTTTTGCTGCGATTACAGCTGTAAGTCGCTTGGGGTATGTCTCTATCAGTTTTGCACATCGAGAGACTGAAATATTTGCCCATTCCTCCTTGCAAAACAGCTCGAGCTCAGTGAGGTTGGATGGAGAGCATTTGTGAACAGCAGTTTTCAGTTCTGTCCACAGATTCTCGATTGGATTCAGGTCTGGACTTTGACTTGGGAGAATCTGTGGAAAGAACTGAAAACTGCTGTTCACAAATGCTCTCCATCCAACCTCACTGAGCTCGAGCTGTTTTGCAAGGAGGCATGGGCAAAAATTTCAGTCTCTCGATGTGCAAAACTGATAGAGACATACCCCAAGCGATTTACAGCTGTAATCGCAGCAAAAGGTGGCGCTACAACGTATTAACTTAAGGGGGTTGAATAATTTTGCACGCCCAATTTTTCAGTTTTTTATTTGTTAGAAAAGTTTGAAATATCCAATAAATTTCGTTCCACTTCATGATTGTGTCCCACTTGTTGTTGATTCTTCACAAAAAATTACAGTTTTATATCTTTATGTTTGAAGCCTGAAATGTGGCAAAAGGTCGCAAAGTTCAAGGGGGCCAAATACTTTCGCAAGGCACTGTAGATAGTCATCTGGTGGCCCACAGGCCACATCCGGCCCACCAAAGCTTTCTATCCGGTCCTGGGTAAATTAGTGAAATAATAAAAAATGGGGATCAGAAAATGCATCCTGGTATTTAGAATATCTAGAATCTCTAGAATCTTTGTCTTCCAAAACCCCAAAATCTACTGAGATGGAAATTATGTTATTAGGAACATCCCAAATATACGCATTCAACCCGTGAGTTCTAAAGACGTTATAAATCCATCTGTGAGCTTGTTATTAACAGCAGCCTAACCTGATGCAGGAGTCAGGTGTACTTCACTCACAAAGCTGTGCTTGTTCGCTGGAACAGAGAAGAAGACTGTCATAGTGCACTGGACACAGCTGGAGGACAAAGGAGGAAGTAGGCAGAGCCAAAGTGAAGTGTCTGACAAGGCAGCTGCAGCCCACCGAGAAAGACGTGGCAAACATGGAAGGTCCCACAGATGGTGGAGCGGGACAGGCAGCACAACCCCCCAGAAAAACAGTGGAGAAGATGATCCAGCCAACTGCCAACGGAGGGGCAAGCAAACAATGAAACAAGGTGAGCGACCACATGTACGGTCATTCTATCACAAGACTGACACACAGAGACAGACAACCACTCACATGTACAGTCACCTGTTAAACAAACCTGCATGTCCTTGGACTGTGGGAGGAAGTTGGAGTACTCAGAGAAAACCTCAGAGGGTACAGGGAGAACAAACTCCACACAGAAAGGTTGAGCACAATGTTTGAATTCGCTGTAAGGCAACAGTGCTAGCCACCGCATCACCGTGCCGCCCCATTTCCCTTTCTTCACACACTAAAAACATAGTCAGCTCAAAAAAACCACACACACAAATGCATGCAAGCAACCTCTGTGCAGCTATGTATTATACTTTTGCATATGCATTATGAAAAACTGTCATGTAGCATAATGAAAATGGTATCACATTCATTTCATACAAAATATTTAACCACCAAATTAATTTAGATAATGGCGACTAGAAGACAATGGCAACAGATTACTGATGTGCTCAACATGAAGAGACATGATGCAACATTCCCTGAAGTAAAATAAAGCCGCTCCACTTATCTCACTCTAACACCTTGAAGTTTCTTGAGTGAGAAGACAAACAAAATGTCTGTTGCTCAAGTGACAGTATGTAATAGCCTGCAATATCAAGCACAGAAAGTAACAGTTTTAACTTTAGGGAGTTTTCATGAGAGACGATGTTTACAGGAGTTTTGGCGTATCATCTGTCTTCATTTGATTATCCAGGCAGCCAGGAAGACACTTGTATTGTTTGGACATACTTTCAGGCACTGTAGCAGGAGGATGTGTCGTTCACTGCTGTGCCATATCAAAGCTGAAACATCAGGAAGCTAATGCAATCCAAGTAACAAGCGGCCTTGGATGCCACGTTTGATGGCAAGCAGATGTTCTGCTGATGATATAGATTGTGTGTGTACAATACTCATGCCTTTGTGTGCATGTCTACAATCTTCCACTAAAAGCCTAACACTTTCTCTCTCTTTTCTTTGTCTACAGTAAGTGTTGCAGCAGAGCAGGATCGCAAAGTCAGAAATGTAAGATCAAAGGTAAAGGGAAGAGGGGCAGAAGATGAAAGAGGGCAATAAGGCTGGCTACATTTGAAATGAATGGGTTTCAGCATTGCTTTCTCCCACTGCAATGAGGCATTATCAAATTTTAGCTTCAGTGTTACTCATTCAACAGATCTGTGATGGCAACGAAGATCTGATTTGTGCATCTGGTACAAAAAAACCTGAGTGGGTGTGAAGCATGATCATCCCCCTGGCATAAACAACACTGTCTGAGGATGATTACACAGTTGATTAAACTGCAACACTGTCAAATGTGAGGATAAATGTGCAGTGCTGATTATGATCAACCTTTTCTCTCTCTGAAATGGGATGCCCTATAGGTCCAAGTTTAGATTGTTTTAGTTTTACAAATTGCCTCAATTAAGGAATTGTATTTGAGTGGTATCCCCTGTGAATCCCTGGATGTTGGACCAGGTAACCACTCAAGGGATACAAGGTGATTTTCTAAGGATTTTATTAGGTTGGCATTATTCAGCACTCTCTCAAAAGTATCCTTGCTCAAAGTCATTATTGCCTAACTCCCTGTTTGCAGAGCTGAGAGGGCTTTATTTTATTATGATCAGGACCATCAGAGGGCTTACCGTGTGAAGCAGTTTGGGAAGGGAAAATACCCCTTTTAAAGTTGACTGAATCATTAAATGAAGGACTGATTAAACTGTCACTACTGTGGTGAAGCAGAGAGCAAGAAAAGGACAAAGCTGAATGTCAGAATCCTATTTTTTAAATACCCAGAGGCTCATTAATTTTATCTTCCAGTTCCATATGCACCACTGACCCAACTAAGGAGTGGTAAAAAAAAAAAACAAGAGGCAAGACTAAACAATAAAACAGGATGCGGGTTAAAGTAAGAACTGAAATGAAAGCATATTTATTTATTAAAGCATATCATATTGTACAACCCAACCTTATCATGAGCTTTTTGTTTAGTGGATATGTAGAGTATACTCTATAAAAGTATAATCTGTCACAGTATTTATTCTTTTTTTAAGTATTTGCAGATGTATTTTATATACCAACAGCACTACTGGGTAATTAATACCCAACACTTGATAACATCACAACTGCTAGAATTTCAGTGAGATGTAATTTGGGCAAATTTTTCTTTCTGAATTCACTGACTAACAAACCTTGTCAGAAAAATTTCTTTCCTATTAAAGTACAATTGAAACATACAGTAAAACTAATTTATTTCCTACTGCATTTTTAATTGTGGGACTGGGACAAATACTCCCTTTTATTCATTCCCTGGTACAGGCAATAGCACTTCATTTATTTATTGTGAAGGGATTATTATGGCAATATGATCTAACAGAGTTTAAGGAGAAGCTGTTTTGTTAACCCATTTTCCCCCCAACCTCCACCCATGACCCTACACCGATAACATAACCCCACATCCTTGTTTGCTTTCGTCATAATTCCTGCAATCTCTAGAGGGCCCTGTCTCTTGACTGTAAATGTTTTTCTTGGAAGGACAATCTCTTTTAGATCACAAAGTACTAGAAAGGTCAGCTGAAAAATCTAAATCATCAGTGAATGGAATCGTCTCCATTAGAAAACAATGCCTAACTAAATTGCATCTCTGCCCTTTGACCTTACAAGCCAAGCTTTTCAAAGCCCTCAGTTGGTTAGTGCCATACATAGTTATGTTTTTTTCCCATAATATTTGCCACAATACAGTAACATATGTATCTTAAAATGGCATCATTTTTAGAAACCTTGCTTTTGCCTCAGTCACTTTGAATAAAGCTCCAAACTTTCCTATTCCTGGCTTTCATAATGTGCCAGTGTGTCAAAGTCCATACAGTTTCTTTAGAGCTATTCAGCATACTTATTACTAACTTTGCACATCTCCTTAATAGCAATGTAGAAACTACTGAAAATGTCTCATCATATTTTTACCAATACATAGCAAAATCTGACCTGCAGTTTAGGACTGCAGTGATATGTAGCCTAGAGCTCTTAGGTGACTTGAGAATGGTGTCATGGTTAATAAATACTTATCTCACTAAAATCCTTTCTGTCCCTCAAAGGCTGAAATCACATATTTCCTTCTATCCCTCTCTCCCAATAAAAATGAAAAAAGCAGCAGATTCCCTTAAGTAATAATAATCATAACACAATACGTTATTGATCCGCACTGGGAAATTCTCTTTCAGCTAATCCCTTGCCGCAGGCAATCTCACAGCTTCGAGTTGAAGAAAGCGGAAGAATAAAAAGGAAGACGAAGTCTTATTCTTCTCATATACAGCCTGAGATGACACTAAGATGTTCAGTATTCATTCAGACACTTGACAGGTTTGAATGCAGGAAAGAAGAGAAATTCGCCTCTTTGATTAGCTGTTTCGGTGCTTGGTTGAGAGTGGCATAGATTATTTTCTTCAGCAAATGGAGCACAATTAGGGCACGCCGTGAAGTGGCATTATAAGAAATGCCATATAGAAATGCTGTTTGTTCTCACTGTAATTGCTAGAGTGTTTAATGTGATTGCAGCTATTTACTTTCTGTTTTCAGGTTGGCTCTGTGTGTCTGTGGGTGTGTATGCATATGCTTAACTTCATGTGCACGCGCTACTGTTTCATTTTGGAATATAATTAAGATGCACTTCAGATTTATGTTCGACTCACAAATTGCTGCAAGGTGAGATTTGTGGGACACTTCAGCAAGTTGGATGTGTAAACCTAGCTCATCTTTCAATTCATTTCACTTTCACGAAGAAAATGTTGCAGAACCCAGTAATGACAATATGCAAAAAGGCCCAGAATCTAATTTCTACTCTATCCATCTGAATTACAATGCCATCATTATTATTCCAATGTTGGAATTATACACTCCATCAGCTGGAATAAGCAGTTTCTACAGATGAGCTGACTTTGTGCGCTTATTGCCCTTGTTGAAACTGTGTGTGTGGCATGTGTATGAGGGGAAAACACACAAACACAAGCTTTCACACATGCCCATATTCACATTAAAAGGTTAATTTTTCAGACCCACAATAATTATACGAAGGTTATACCCGTGTCAAAATGCAGCTTTCTCAAATGAGGACTGTAATTGCCAAATGTGCAAAAAAGTGTAACGTAAATGCTCAACATACCAAATATTCTTGTGGGAGTGATTGTATGCTTAGATCCTACTGCATTAAATTGAATTGAACCGAAGTTGGACAAAGTTGTTTGTTTCTGTGCTTCCATAGGATTCGTTAATATGTTATATATTCCATAAACTGATGTTAGATGTAAGAAAATGGCCTGACAATGCTTTAACACTGGCAAAGTCATGCAGCAGAATAAAGGTCCACCAGAAACCTCACATATCTCTGTCCACGTTCACCCATCAGTAATGCAGGTTGTGAACAACAGTAGACTGATAATCCTCTCATAGCTATACACTAAATATGAAGCTAGAGCAGGCAGTCAGGTCAGCATAAAGGATGGAAGCCTGCTAGTCTGACTCTGTGCTTGAGGGAACAGACACTCCTTATCATGATACTTGTCACTTGTTTAATCTGTATAAAAATTTCAGGTTATATTTTTACAGCAGTAACCTGGCAACCTCATGGTGATGACAAAACTCCTGTCCTAAGCTACATGACATAGTTTTATATTTACTGTACAGACATTACAATGATAATGATTTTCTCATTTAACTCCCAGAAAGAACGTGAGCGTGCGTATTTCATTTTTAATGTAATGAGCAAGGTAACTCTGAGGTGGTGTGTCCCAAAGTGTGGGCCACAGCCCCCTGGTGGGAGGTGATGATGCTGCAATTGACCACGAGAAGTTATTTACAATAAATAAATACAATATAATGTCTGAAATAAATAAGTAAATAAAAAATATTTACCTTTCAATTTTGAAAGTAAATTTGAAATGACCATAAAAAAATTTCTGATTAAATAAATTTTGTCACAATTGCAAGCACCACAACAGGTGTAAATCTCACAGGAGTTTAGTATATAATCTTTTGTCTAGCATCAATAACATTAACCCAAGAAAATGCAAAGACTGCCATGCTAATTACTGTGATTCAACAAACCTTCTGACTCACTATGGGGTTTGGGTAATAATATGGTCTGTTTTGTGGCACTATCCTCAGGCCAAATGTTACATTTATACCCCTAGTGGTGAGGATTTAAAGGATAGAAAATGCCTGTTTTATCCAGCTTTATTGTCTGGTATGAAACAAGCATTGCAGCCTCGCCGGGTCACCGGCTTGGCCAGTGCCATTTTTTCTTATTTTTCTATTACTCTCAAAAGCAGTCCCTGAATGAACAAAAGTTTGTCTTATTGGTTTATGTTTACACGATCCTTCTGAAGATAACTTCAAAACTCTGTGTTTCAGGTGAATCTTCAGTCTATCTCAAGAACTGACAGTTGTGTTTTTTTCTTCTTCTGATATCTGGTCTGCTTTCCACAGTCTGCATATGGATTTCATAGATGAAAATGTTAGATGAAATTAATTAAATATAGCCTAGCTTTTAGACAGAAAAAAGATTGGGCTCTTTATTGCTGAGACTCTGAAATGCATAGTGTTTTTTCATGTAGTTTAAAGCAACTGTCATAAATACAACTCATATTCCTGGAAATACAGTATATTGACTTAAAAAAATAAGTAACTGTGGTTTGCGGGTTTAAGAACAGTGTGTATGAAACTAATAATAAACCCACTGGGTAAATTACTTTTGGGGTACTGGTGATATTGCTTTAAGGTCTTTAAAGAACAACAAAAACATGTGTATTTACCTCATATCTGAAGAGCACAAACAACAAACACTTCCTCGAGTGCGTCCAGATTGTTCAAGTGTAATAAAGACAGAAAGATGAGAGGATGTGAGTTTGCTGGGCAGCTTTTACTCATTCTATATATCGCTTAATACATCTGTCATTCATTTTCCTTTTCAAATTCCCCTAAACACTTTAGCATTGGGGGCTACTGTGGTTCAGTGGGATTCGTCTGCCAACCGGAGGCTAGGGGGTTTGAATTTCAGTGCTTGCAGTCCATGTGTTGAAGTGTCCTGGGGCAAGACACTGAACCCCCAAGTTGCCCCCAGTGGTTAGAGCCATTGGTGTGAGTTGGCGCCACAGATGGCTGCCTCAGTTCTGTACCGGAAACAAATTCCTTGTGTGTAACATACTTGGCCAAATAAAGGCGATTTTCCTTCCCTTTTAGCTCACTGTTTTGGGTTTTCGTGTGGCCCACGCTGTTTTGATTCAGGGTTCTCATAAAAATGCCTGTCCAGCTGCGGCAGCACAGTTGTCTTCAGCAAAAACAGGTAACTCAACTTTGTTTAGGTTAGGGTGAGCCCTAACTGTTGGCAGTGACAGCACTGGGCCACCAGTCAAAGCTGTCAAATCAAGAGAAATGTACCTCTTTTGATTTCATCAAATAAAAACAAACTTACCAGAAAATGACCACTTGTACACAGGTCAGTGTGATATCTACCAAAAACCGAACAGAAATCACCTCTGGGGAAAAAGAAGTATTTAATTTTCATATACTTGCATATGTTATACAGCAATGACCTTGGTGTCTGACAGAGCCCACATTTAAATTGTGATTCCCACATTCATCCAGCAGATGGCACACTCACTCAAAGCAAAATCTGTTTAGTCTGAAGCTGTTAAGTTTTTTTACTATTAAAATTCAACTGGAATCCAGTTAAGTTCAGGGTCACACCCACCTGTAATGATGACAAGCTCAAGAATCTTATGGGAATATCAGTACATGGGTGTGTAAGGTGAATGCCTTACACTTGTCATCCATTCATGGTCCAAGTGGAAATGCAGGTGGCACGACTTCTGAGCAACTGAACTACAGTACCACGCCTGGGAGTTCTCAACATTTCATTTGATTAGATTAAAAATATTTCATGCACTGTGACAAGAGCCCAAAAAAGTGAGAACAGGCAGGGTACACCCTGAAACCTTAAGGTGGAATACTGACTTTCCAAATGAACAGTAAGAGAAACATGAAAAACACCTTCATTTATTTGACCAGCTATGAAACAGAAAGTGAGACATGGTGGAAAGAAAACCCATTAAACATTAGTGTCTCTGCGGTGTGTACACAATGTGACAGGTCTTGGTAAACACTGAAGGCAGTCTTGGTAAATACACTGTGCAGGTAGTGCAGGATGTAAACTGGTCATCTTGAAGTTCCCCCCTTTTTTACAGTATCAGACTGTAGCATATCCAGGATCCAACAGCTTTACCAATAAGATCAGCATCCACCCAAGACAGAAAGCCTCACATCTGGCGAGTAAAGCATAACACAACAATAAGACACTCTTCACAATGGGCATGATGGCACTATGACTTAGTTAAGTTATATGCGGATTTACTGACCAGTGTGTTAGTTTTATCCCAACCATTTTAATTAGATGTGTTAGTCAGAGGCCTAAATTACAGTAATTTCGCCATGTAGCCTACGCTACATAGACAAATGTCACGTTACCATTCACGACGAATCCAGCTTCTTCTGTATTTCCGACCATTTATCTTGCTGATGTTTTTTCCACATCTTGTTGGCCTGCCACCCCGCCAGAAAACCGACAGAGAAAGAAACCACGACAGCCACTTGTAGCGTCCTTTCCGAGAAACCTGCCATGTTCACGTCTGAGACACACAAGTTTGTGAAAATCTTTCGTCCCTTCCTGCAGGAAGTGGTGGGCGGATCGATGTCAAATATATTTATAGTATCGATACCAACATTGGTATCGGTATCGATCGATACTTGCGTGATGGGATTGATACTTGCATATCACTTTCTCTTTTCTACAGAGTACACAACCCCTGTTACACCATAGTGGTTGTGCAAACACCGCTCCTCTAGCGATGGCCGTCTGACACCGATGCTCCGAAAATCGAAGCAGCATTTTTCTGGGACCACAAAGCTTTGGTGCGGAAAAAGACGGTGACCGATCGCGTGACTATACCAGTCGATACTGCTTCGTAGCGCGAAAAATACAGTTTTCTCAATAAAAATCTTTAAATCTCCGTCCCACTTACATAACCACACCCTGCCCTAAACTTCCAAGTTTTTTCAGCATACCTGAAATGGTTCAATACCGGTTCCTTTCTTCAACTGCACATCACTAAGCACCTCTTACTTTGCAAGGTAAAAGCTGTGCTAGAGAAGGATATGAATCCAAATGTATTCATTAATGACTTATTACTGATCATTATAATACTGATGTGAGTGTCCTTGAGCAAGACACCAAACCCCCAAATTGCTCCTGATGTGTGTGTATGAGGAAAATGTAATCCTCTGTACAAAAGCATTTGTCAAATGAATGTTAGGCAATACATGACTAAATTAATTAGGCTATCAACTATGGTTAAAGACATTTGTTACAGCTTACAAAGCCTCTATAAAGAATGTCTTGTCAGACAATTTTACTTAAAATCTTTCAACAAATGTGAAACAAAAGAAAACCATGTTCCACTTGTGGTTTATAGAGACTGATTTGTCAGTATGCTGAAGACACTTGTATTGAATGAATGAATGGTGAAGACACTTGTTTTCCTGGTTGTAAAACCGATATGTTGCTGTTGATGAAATCTCTCTGCACACGGTAATTGTTTACTGTCAAACAGGATGAAGGTATTGCAGCTCTCCCCCTTTACATAAAAGCCTTCTGGAAATGATGTTACAAAATAAGCCTTGATCAAATAACGCGAGTCGTAATCACATCACGCATTTAAATGGAAATCTTTGCAGCATATTGGTATAAGCATATCAGCATATACCAATCCACAGCCACAGTACTTATCTGAAACATAGTTTAGTTATTAGTTAGTCATCCATTAACATGTAAACAAACATGCACTTGTGTTTGAGGTGTACTGGACTGAAGTTTGTTAATGCCTCAAATCTCATGAGTCTATGGCCACATTTGTGTGAACTCATACAATATTTATGTTTCTATGAGTAAAACAAGCATTTGGAGTAGGAAAGATTTTCCCCAGTGTTACACAAAAATGCATACCCAGCTCTTTCTTGATAGAAAGGAAACATTCACACAAACATTTAAGCAGATTCTGTTGTCTTAGCTGAATATTTGATATACACGATTATGCATTCATATCACTGTGGTTTTTGGTGAAATGTCTCAACAACTAGTTGATGAATTGTCATTCATGTTCCCCTCAGGATGATTTGTGTCTATATACTGCAGAGTTAGGTATTTTTTTCTAAAGGAACCATCACACACAGAAGTCTTTTATTGTTTCGCTGCTCCCCTTATGTTTTACATTATACAAATCTTTTCTCCTCTCTACTAGTTTCTCTTCTTGCTTCCTCTCCTTGTTTTGCAGCTGCCCAATAGCCAGAGGGCACAATCACACAACCAGAAAGCCAATCAGGGAGCTTATTAAACATGACACTCACTGAGCACACTCAATATAAGCAAAGGACATGTGTGATTTACATGCCAATTAGGAAAATCAGATCAATCATAGCAGCCAGCTATCATACTGCTTCTCGCCTCCTCCTTTTGCCTCTTTCGCACATTATCTCCTTTAGTCACTTTCCCTTGGGTCTCCTTTGAAAATACTCCTCAGCTATACGCACGACAACTGCTGCTGCACACAATCACGCACAAAATAAACAAGGAATAGAGAGTTGCTGTGTACACATCCACACACAGCACACTCGAGTAGCAAGCTATTCATCACAATTTAGCCAGCATTAGACACTGAAGGACAATAACACCCTCTCTCAAATACCATCCAAAACACAAACAGCTACACACTTCTCATATGACATGCCTTTCCCCCCATTTGTCAAAACACTCTCACACTTCCCATTAAGCTGTCTGTCAACTATCTTCTTACAATCTAGACTATGCCATTGAAGTGAATTTAAAAACAGTGAATGAAACGGAAAAATGCCTGAGAATTTTTTAAATAAATATAATCCATGTATTATGTAACTAGATTATAAAACATACATTTACACTGGTGCTTTCTTTTTAGACATTTCACACATTTCTCTATTAGCTTTCATTATTGATGTTTTTATGATCAGCCTTATGACACTACAACATGTTTCCTAAGACTCATATGCGAGTATAAATTAAAGTTTTCTTATATTCAATATTAGGAAAAATGTCCTGAAAGGAAGTTTACACAGTGTTTTTATCAGATAAAAGCAAGTGTGCAGTATAAGCGATCCTAATAAAGATTTCTGAGATATTTCTAAACATATACTCTCCCATTAAATAAAATACAAGCTGAACTGTAACTACGGTGTAGAAATGAGATTGGATTTCAGCTGAATGTAGAAGTAGTTAAGGAATGAGAGAATCAACAACCAACCCTCTGAGGAGTTCTTCATTGCCACCTCTTGGGGTCAGTAACGCCCAGGAAAAGCGACGAATCAGCCACTAAAGAAGAATAAATGTCACATTGCGCAGGCGTACACCACGTACACCGATGATCAGACCTGTCTTGGCCATGGTCTTCACTGAGTGCTAGCTGATTACCTAACGGTTGTTAACTCGCACACATTGGGCTAGAAGGAGGAACACAGCGGTGGATAAGAAGGGCGACCCAAGTGCCGCTTCGAAATGGCCGGACAACAGTTCCAGTACGATGACAGCGGCAATACCTTTTTCTATTTCCTTACGTCCTTCGTGGGACTTATTGTGATTCCGGCTACATATTACCTCTGGCCCCGGGATCAGAGTGCTGGTAAGGCCCGCTGTCTGGGTCAGTTCTGATTTAGCTAGCTAACCTCAGCTAGTGCAAGCTGGAGTGTTCAGATAGCATCTAGGCTTATTAACGCTCAGTAGTTCGCTGTATGTTCTGGCTAACTTGCTGCTAGTTGGGGAGGCCTTACAACTTAGCCCAACATTGCAGTAACTTAATGTAAGATAGCAAACGTTACAGAGATTATGTCTCGTTCACTGTTCGGAGCTTAGCAGAGCCTTGAACAAGTCAGAGTGTGTAACCTAGATACTTCTCCAGTTTTAGTAATTAATCTACCATCCCACTGTCTATATATATGTCGCCAGGATTGCCAGCTTCCGTTGCTAAACGTGCAGCTAAGTGTTTTGCTAGTTAGGCTGAAGTTTCAACATCGGAAGCTAGTGCCAATCATGCAGGTTGTCAAGTTTGCCTTCGTGCTTTTATTGACCTGATCTTCATCTGCCCTTTATCTTGGTACGGCTATCTGTTTGTCAGCAACATATTAAAGTGAAAATGGCTTATGTAACATATTGTAGTGTTGGGGGCGGAGAGACACTTGTCGGGGTCCCCCCGAATGCCTTAGAAGGCAAGCACCTCGCGGGATTCCCGGTAATGCCCCTCTGGGCGGTATGTATTTAGTTCGGAGATGGGGATTGTTCGGTCATCTGTTGGTGCGGTTGCCTGTGTTTGTCTCTTTGAGTGACAAAAAAGAAAAAGACAGCGTATGTCTCTGGCTCCATCCTTAAGCTAGCCTACATTACACTGGTGTCATAAGTGGAATGGAGATAGAGCCGCAGGAGCCAGCAGAAGCCCCTGCAGCTCCCATGGAGTTGCCTACCACTCCGCTCTCAGCAGGAGCCCGTCAAAATGAGACCGCTGATGGACCCAGTGTTCTCAGCCAGGCAAGCTGGAGGAACCTCACCCAGTCATCACCACTTCGTGTGGACCCAGCACCAGCTGACCAGACGGCTGTTCTAGAACTGTGGGCAGGTCAGGCCGAGCTAGGGGCAGCGGGACCAACCCCTACCTCGATGACGACCCAACCATAAGGCTGCATGGATAATGCCGCTCCACAGTGTGCCCTCTTCTCCCTGTCCCCTGGGGTGAAGTCCTGGAACTCGTGGTGGAGTGGAAGATCACTGCATGTGCACTGAGGAGAGGCTCTGTGCCCCGGGTCTGCTGTACAGTGTGGCTAACCAGAAACTAGCGAGGAGGAGGCAGCCTGCCAAGTTGCTGCCATGCCACCACTACCACGAGGAGGCAGGAGAGCAGCTGAACAACACCACCACAGGAGTCCTACTGCTGTGGGGAGCCTGGCCACACCGCATACCATTGTCTAGTACCACTGGACCGCTCATCTACCCGTGACCTGTCACAACTGTGGGTTAGACACACAGACTATACCTGAACTCTGAACTTGATGGCACACAGTGCCGCACCTTGGTGGACATGGGGTCCACCATCTCTCTGATATGTCCAGCGACATTGCCGGGGACAAGAGGGTAGCTACCCAGCTCTGCATCACCACAGTGACTGGCAAGGGTGCACAGATGAAAGGAGATAGGATGCGCAAAGTGACTGTTGCTGGCTCCACCGTGGAGCACCATTTCCGTCTGGCTAACATTCAACATCCATGCATCATCAGCCTTGACCTGCAGGCTTACTAGGGGGCCATGGTGGATGTGTCTGGGGCTGCGCTCTGCCTGGGTGTGGATACCTTGGCTCTCCGCACTGCTGCTAGGGAAGGGCTGTGCTGAACCATGGTGCTGGCCATTTATCTACATCGCTACAGCCAGCCAGGGACTTGTCCAGGCCTACACCGCTTTCCCAGGTGGTGCACACAGAGAAAAGGCAACCTGGCGAGGGCTCACACAAGAGGAGCTATGGAAGGAAGAAGTGCTGGTGCGCCAAGGACTGGAGCACTGCCATACGACAGGCAGCAGCCCGGCAGGCCATTTCCCCTGAGGTTACTTGTGCAGCTTGGAGGGGGCTGACCTGGTATTTGCATGCTCCCCTGCTGCAGTACCAGGTGATGGACGTGGGGTCTCACCAGACTCGGGATGTCTGCAGCCCGGGAGAGAACAGCACCAGTGCAGGCCGCCCCCAACACTAAAGAGACTTTGCTATGACTGTGGTTAATGAGGACAGTTAACCAGCGAGGTGGGGGCTGTGTAGCATTGGGGCAGAGAGACACCTGGCGGGGTCCCCCATAATGCCTTAGGATGGAAGCACCTGGCGGGTATTCCCCATAATGCCCCTCTGGGGTGGGATATATTTAGTTCGGTATTCTGGCTGTTGATGTGTGTGTGTGTGTGTGTGTGTGTGTGTGTGAAAATAAAAGAGAAAAGGGTAACTTCTGTCTTTAGCTCCTTCCTTAAGATAGCTTATGTTACATTATGCTAAAAACCTTTACTCCGCTGGTTTACTGGGAAAAGCTAAATGACAGGTTGACATACAGTGTCTAGCTTAAGATCTTGGCATTTTCTTGATCTTCTGTTGTGTAGGTTGCATTACAGTTTAGTAATTCACACTCATTTCAAGCTGAGTGAAGTAAACCTACTGTTTGCCTCTCCCTGCTTGGCCAGCATATAGTCCACCAGAGAAATATCACTCTCTCTCTATTCAGATACTTAACTTCAAGCACCAGTGTTCCTACCCAAGTCACTGTGGAATTATCACTGCTGGCTGTGACTTGTTTGATGTTACCTATGTCAGTATTCTCTTCATGTCCATCCTCTTTCCAGAACAACTGCGTCTGAAGAGCCTGAGGAGGGTACATGGCAGGTGTCTGTGGTACCGGCTCAGGCTGATGAAGTCCCAGCAGAGTATCATCCCAACACTAAAGTGAGTTCAGTCAATTGGATTTGGGTTTGTAGTTTTCATTGTTAAAATAAACAAGATGTACATGCATTCAGGTAGGGCGCGTGTTTGTTGACACACAGCCGGGATGTGATAGGATAACCTCATAAGCATCCTTTTTAATGAAATTAGTTTTATAGCTCCAGGTAACACCTATGAAAACATGCTTCTAACTAAAAGTTATCTTGAGGTAGACTTATTTACTGTTTGTAGTTCATGTCACATGTCACACCTAATCCGACTTCAGCTGGATTACGTGCATAGAAATGTCTTTGTGATAGCTTGTTTGGCAGTATGTCAACATACTTGCTCCTTTATCCTTTGTTACTAAATGTCACATGTTCTTTGCTATTTGCGTGTGACTTGCCTGAGCTCTTTGCGCTGAGAAAGCTGTGTCATCTTCTCATCACATCACTGGACATGTTCCTGATTGCTTACTGCTTCACTCTATGTTCCCAGCTGGACAGAAATGTCACTGTGGTGTGAAGATGAGGCATAGACACACTTGAGCTTGTGTAAATGAATGTGTGGAAGTGCTGGTTTGGGGGAATTTTTTTGGTTTATATTGTCATGTGTGCCTCTTTGGGGTAAACACTATGTTGGACAGTTTAACACTTCTCTCAACATGACCCTGTTTTCTCGTAGTGTGTATGTGTGTGTGTGTGTGTGTGTGTGTGTGTGGCTGTTCAAGTACTGTTCACCACACCACTCTGCCTGTCCTCTCATTTGCCTCCTTGTCACATAGTTGCTGTCAGAGTATCTCCTCTCAGTTCTGTCTGCTTTTTCAGCTTTTTGTCTTCATACTTCCACTCTCTACTCCTGATTTGTTGCAAATACCTCCATTGTTTTTTTTCTTATTTTACATATGTGACTGAAGCATTGTGGAAGCCTCCGACACTCAGTCAGTGGCATTAGTATATGTTCCCTCTTAGCAATTTTATCATAATGATGGTGTTTATTGTGGGAAGCCATCATGTATATTTCTGGTTGAGTTACTCGGACAACTCTAAGACTAGTGAGCGGTTGTCATGGCAACAGATGTTGCAGAGCAGGCCATAGGGTTTTGCCATTGTCATGGAAACAAGTTCAACTTCCATGCATAAATATCAAGCAACAACAATGTCAGAGCCTGTGTCCTGCTCTCTGTTTGTTTGCAGCAGAGCAAGATGAGCCTAATTTACTTGTTCAAATTTACAGCCTCATGTTTGTAGCTTTTAAAATGCTGAAAGCTAGTTTGCATTGCAACTCCAAACAATTATGATGATTGCAAACCACAGTGTCCGAGTGTCTTGTAAAAATGAGACAGGCCTGATATTGTCTCCAGAGAACAAAGATGTTTTGTGTGTAACCTTTTCTCTTTTCCCTGCTTGTGTGTTGCCATTTTCAGGAAAGCAGGCTTGTTATTTGGGTGGGCTGTGTTCCTGCTGCTAGCCTACAAAGTGTCCAAGCTGGATAGAGAGTACCAGGAGTATAATCCATATGAAGTCCTCAACTTGGACCCGGTAAATGCACAAAAGGCATCAACCTCTGTATTCTGCAGAGCAATTGAAGCCCCCCACAGTTCATGAAGTTTTATCTTGTCCATTCAAGATAATAGAGCCATATCTTCAGATAGAAATATTTTCTCTCTGGGTTGTTTGGGACTACAAAAAAAATTGTACCTGACTGTATATGTTATTTACACTACATGTGGTTTGGTTTAGAGATGCTGTAATTATATTTCTGTTTCCAGGGTGCATCTCTGTCAGAAATCAAGAAGCAATACCGTGTACTGTCGCTCATATACCACCCTGACAAAGGTGGTGATGAGGCCACATTTATGAGAATTGCCAAAGCCTATGCTGCGTAAGTGTCATTCAGGTGTTGACTCGAATCTAGACCACAACACTGCATCTGTAATCAACAATGAAAGTAATCACCTGTATCAGCCCAGTATTTAGTTTTCACTGATTAATTTACTTTTGTCTCTGTCTCGACCCCCACCCCCCACAGTCTGACCAATGACCAGTCACGACAAAACTGGGAAATGTACGGCAACCCAGATGGTCCAGGAGGCAAGTTAAGCTACTCCCAGTTCCACACTTGGCTTTTGCATTAATGTGTTCAGTAGTGGAAGATGAATTGAAACCTGACATTCCAGTGAAAGTTGACCATGAAAAAGTGTCTCTCACTTTCACACACTTCTACTGTCTGCGTCCAAGATCACAATCACTGGTGCCCGGTAGCTGAGGAAAAAAGTCATACAGTTTACATTATGATGATTATATAAGTCATTTTACACAGTTTTAAAGATGCTTTTCTTATAATTAACATGAATCAGGGAGAAAAGATCTTACTGGATCCAGTGGTGTAATGTGGCAGTGTAATTCTGATTTTGTGTATGATGCCAAATTGCCAAACAGCCCAGTGCTACAGCAGGGGCCTTCAGTATGTAAACGGGGGATTTTTTCCATTTTACCACATTGCCTCTTATGTTTCCCTTTCTAGCAACCAGCTTTGGTATTGCCCTGCCTGCCTGGATTGTTGACCAGAAGAACTCAGTGCTGGTACATATTCACTGACTATGTCAGTTTATACTTCATCCAAGTAGATCTCATCAGCTCATCTACTTTGAAGTGCTTGAAATGAATTTGACTGCCATTGAGATGTATTGTGATCAGTAACCTGATGAAATGTTATCCCCTGTCACTAATACACTAGGTTTAAATGTACGCCTAGTTTTGTTGGCCTGAAACAGACAGTTGTTTTCCTATGTAGGTGCTGTTGGTATATGGACTAGCCTTTATGGTCATCCTTCCTGTTGTTGTGGTAAGACCTGATCCATAATTAAGAACCAGGTTCTGTGTTGCCCACGATTTTTTTTTTTTTTTTTTACACCCAGTATATATTTATTTTTTTGTCTTTCGTAGGGCACGTGGTGGTACCGCTCAATCCGCTACAGCGGAGACCAAATCCTCATCAACACTATTCAGCTTTTCATGCATTTCATGTACAAGACGCCTAACATGAACATGAAGCGTGAGTTTTTTTCCTTCACATTGCTCTGCATTTCAAATTGTACATCAGGATTTTGACCAGATATACCCACAAATAAGCTGTACCAAGCAGCTCAAAATGCAGTGTATGCTCATGTGGTTTTGAGATGAGGAGCAGTGGATTCAGTTGACATCACTGTGACTGTTTTCAAGGAACTCGACTTCAGATATGATACTATTGTCTTAGTGTTAATTGATTAATTCTACTTAATGCACAACATAATTATGAGTCTTTGTTTTTTTTTACCAATTTTGAATTGAACTTCAACCGACCTCCAGGGTTGGTCATGGTGTTGACAGCAGCATTCGAGTTTGACCCTCGCAGTAATAAAGAAGCCACAATACGACCGACCGACAACATTGAAGTGCCACAGGTATTAACAGACATTGACGCAATGTGTTTGAGTGGAGAAGAAATTTTGTATGTGTGTGTGTGTGTGAGAAAGAGAGAAATTGTCCAGAATTCAAAGGGAACCACTCTAAAGGGCAGATTAACCTCAAGTGTGCGTTATAATCAGCCTCTCCTGTCTCCTGCAGCTGATCCGTGAGTTGGGAAATATCAATGTGAAGAAGAAGGAGCCTCCGTTTTGCTATCCTTACAGTTTAAAGGCCAGAGTCTTAGTGCTTGCTCACCTGGCACGCATGGACATATCAGAGGAGTTGGAGGAAGGTAGGATACTAAAATGTGCACAAACAAATGAAAATGTGGTGCAAATGATTCTTTACCAGCTAGTCACTTATTACACTTTCTGCAAAGTGGCTGTAAGAAAGATGTTACATAATGTTTCTTGGAAGCAATAGTTGACCCCAGAATCCAAATATTGTCATTGGTTTCACAGCAGTTTAAACAAAACACAGCAAATACAAACCACACACACTTCAAAAACAGCTGTGTGCTTGGCTTGTAAAATGGTCATTAATTAAAATAAAAACTTGTCATCATCATTATGAAATCATGTTTAATAATCATGGCAGAGTGGCATCAAATCTTCTAATTCCTCAGTCGTTACAAATCCAAGTTGTGGACAGATGGGACTTTTGGCCTCCCCATTTGGTCAATAACACATTATTCACAGCATGGTATATGTTGCTGTTTCTTTCTGTTCGCAGATCAGAGGTTTGTGGTGAGGAAGAGTCCGGCTCTCCTCCAGGAGATGATTAACGTGGGCTGCCAGCTCACCATGATGGCCAACAGCAGAGGAGGTACGCATACATGCAGTATACAGTAACGTGTGAACAATTTTCTCTGTTTTGGCCTGAGTTCTGTCTAATACAACACGGCTCCATGTGGCAAAGACTTGTCTAAAAAGGTAAGCTAAGACTGCGAGACTTGGCTGTCCAGGAAAGGCGACGCCATGCAGTTACACAACCTAGCATTGTGAAACGGACAAGTAAATGCTTCTGACTTGGCACCAGGATTATCTGTAGAGATTGGTGTTTCAGTGACTGCTCAGACGGTGTGAAGGGCATCTCACAAAATCGGCCTCTGCAGACGGCGTCCAAAAAGAACAGCAAAATTGGCCGGCTAGTGGCAACTGTGAAACGTGGAAGTGGGAGAGTGCTGCTATGAGTGCAAAAGGTGTAGGGGAGAGGATATTTATATATGGCACTATGGCAGCAAGTTTGTGTATCCAAATACCGGCTATGCACGCCCCTGACTTGATTCCAATAGAACGCCTTTGAAGGTAGAACAGCAAAGAGTAGCCGATCAGAATCATCTGGGAAGAATGTTGGAAGGCTTTCACACTGTGACTGTTGATGTAAAATAAATAAAAATCAGTACTTGACCTTGGTGGTGTTGAACAGTTAGAATCGTACCTCTGTCCAGGTTTTCCTGCTCCTCGACTGGTGACCATAGAGAACTGTATGAAGCTGACCCAGATGACAGTGCAGGGTCTACAGGAATCAAAGTCACCACTGCTGCAGCTGCCCCACTTTGAGGAGGAGCACCTCCGCTACTGCATCTCCAAGAAGGTAACCGCAGAGTTTCTGTGCATATGTGTGCACGTATGTTGTAAATAAGCACTGTAGAGTAATTTTTCCTCTCCTCTCTAGTACAAGGTTCGGAGCCTGCAGGACCTGGTGAGCCTCAAGGACTCGGACAGACGCAGCATGTTGCGTTTCTTGGGGGAGGAAAAGTATGATGAGGTCATGGCTGTGCTGGGCAGCTTCCCTCACATCGACATGGATACCAAACTACAGGGTTAGTCCTGAAGAAGTTGTATATTATAGGAATGGGCATTTCAAGCATAGTCGCACGATTAGATTTCTTTTTAGATATTTAATGACTGTTCAAATATTTGAAAATCATTGCCCATTCCTAATGTATTGTAGCCTTAACATTTGTAAATTAGGTTTAAAATAATTTCTCTAAGAGAACTATGGAGCTGTGTAGATTCTGAAATGGTCTAGTTTAAAATTAGAGATGTTTAGACATTTAAATCCTTTTCTCTCCGTGTGTCACTGCAGTGCTTGATGATGAAGACAGCAATAACATCACAGCAGGCTCCATTGTCACAGTAACTGTCACCTTAACCAGGAAACGGATGGCGGTAAGGAATGACTGCATTAAGCAATGACAACATGACAAAAACTAAAAAGCAACTTCTGCGAGTCAGATTGATTTATTTCATCTGCCATGGACTTCCACTTCCATGGGTGACCACTAGAGGGGACTGTTGACTGTATGTATGTTTGGAAAGCCTCAATTAACTGTGCACGTTGTTTGTAGGATGTGTTTGAAAAGGAGCAGGAGTCAATGCCATGTCCAGGAGAGGAGGCTGCCACTACAGAAGAAGCAGTAAGAATAATACACTCTATAGACAGCACTTGTCCACTAACACCACACCACAGTTTGGGTCCGATTTAACATTGATTAGAGTTTAATGGTTCAAGAAATCTTGTAGTGTTCACTTTAATGTTTTGTGTCTGGGTGCATATAAAGCAAGGAGATTCGAGTAAAGCCAAAACCAAAGTGTGGCAGAATAAGAGTAAAGGGGCTAAGAAGACAGCCAAGTCCAAGAAGAAGAAATTAACCAAGAAGAAGGCCGCTCCTGCTCCTGCCAAAACCAAGCAGGCCAACGGCAACGTGGCAGGAAATGTATGTTGCCAGTCACAGTTGAATTACAACTGCTGATGGTTTTTTATACAGATTTAACTGTATCAATTGTCAGTGTCTACATCATAACTTCATTATCAATGTTGGTGTCGCAGGAAGTCTTAGCAGCAACATCGATAGTAAAGGAAGAAGAGGACGACGCCTCGGACAAAGGCAGCGAGTCAGACGAGGGGGAGGCCAACAAGGACTCTCCCAGTGAGAGAGACGAAGACAGCGACAAACAGAGCGACACTGAGGTGGATGAGATGGCTGGTGATGACGAGGAGGTTAGAGAACTTTAGTAATATGATGTAAATATAACAGAATATCATGTTGAGTGGCCATGATACTCACTCACATGAACATAAAGGAAACACTGCCTGAATCCTCCACTCTCCATGCCTCCCCTTCAGGAGTGGGAGGCTTTGCAGCAGAGCATCCAGCGGCGAGAACGGGCCCTGTTAGAGACCAAGTCAAAGGTGACACACCCTGTCTACAGCCTCTACTTCCCTGAGGAGAAGCAGGAGTGGTGGTGGCTCTACATCGCTGACCGCCGAGATCAGACCCTTGTCTCTATGCCCTACCACGTCTGCACACTAAGAGACACAGAAGAGGTGCGTGTGTGTTAGTATTCTCCTGGGCAGATGGCTGTTAAAAACAGTAACACATAGGAGCGTGTGCCCGCGTTGTACGACTCTCAGTATGACAATTTCACTATAGAAATTGTTATAAAAATGAGAAAATTCATTGTTTTCTGAGAGCCCAAGGCCCCATTGTAAACTTAATAGGTGTCTAACAGACCAAAACCAAAATATGTAAAATTTACAATGAAAATCCCAACATCTGAGAAGCAGGAACCAGATGTTGGTTAATTCACTAAAGGCATGAATCAAAATTGTCTTAACTGTTGCTCCAGCATTTATTCTGTTTTTACATTGTAATGTGCAGTATTATGGAGTCGTGTGTGTGTGTGTGTGTGTGTGTGTGTGATGTTAAATACTTTGATGATGTACAGGGACTTAGGCTATAATCCTCCTGGATTAGAAAGGGCTTAATAAATTAAGGTGGGTGTGTTCACATTTACGGTGCACTGTAGCACCTCACACATCCTGTTGCTAGGCAACCTTATGAACTTGTCATTATTTCCTCAGAGGAGTGTGTGTGTGCGTGTGTGTTTGCACAATTTGCACCTCTGCTCCCAGTGTCCTCCAGCAGCAATAAGGCTTGACAGCAAGGTAAAAGCTTTTAATGAGGTTTGTGTAAGTCTGCATGACCATCTGTTCCCGCTCTGAAGAAATGTAACAGCAAGAGGTGACCCGCCCATGCATAACCGTTCACTCTCTAGCTATCAATTAGCCTTTCACTTCAACAATTCCTTTGGATGTTTATGTATTGGTCCTTCTTCTATGCTGTGTGTTTGACGGCTGTGGTTTTGGGCAAAGGGGCTGTTTTCATCAACGAGGCGGGGCAGTCAATTGCCGGGGTATCCACAGCTCATTCTCAGCTCACACTGAAAAATAATTAGCCTCCATGTGCTGATAATTAGATATTTGCCATATGTAATTGCATGACATAGTAATCATAGCCTAGGGTAATGCTGGTCTAATATTTACAGTTGGACCCTATCATCATGTGGCGGTTAATTTGTGATTACCTACCACACTGTGTCCCTCTGAAGCTGGATGATTGTGTGTCATCAGTAACAGCGGATTCTCTTTTAAGTTTTGTGATATTCAACTGTGTTTGTCCTTTACCGGTTTGCCTCCTCCTGGTGCTTTTATTAGCGTTTGTTTCTTGAAAAAAAGAAGGCAGTCCTTGTTAAATGCTGTTGACAGCCATCTTGTTTCTTTGCGTGGTGGCAGTTTTATTTTGACAACAACAATAACAGTTGCATTGCCACATGTTTGCTGTAATAGTATGCTTAATGCATCAAATATTAACGTCCTCAGTCCTGTGTCACTGCACTTTGATCCATTTGAATAGATTTAACAGGTGTGTGTGTGTGTGTGTGTGTGTGTGTGTGTGTGTGCGTTCCTCAGGTGGAGCTGAAATTTCCAGCCCCCTCCAAAATGGGCAACTACCAATATTCTGTCATCCTCCGTTCTGATTCCTACCTGGGGCTGGACCAGATCAAACCCCTAAAGGTGACAAGAAAGCTATTTGTGTGTGTGATTTTGTGGGGAAGGCCTTCCACCGGTTAGAGTAGTTAGCTGAGCCATTTCTTTTAACCAAATCAGTTTAATTTATCCTGGATATAATTCTTTTCCTGCCAAAATGGTCCAGACAAGAGACCCACCAGTCACAGCCAAACAGTAGTATTAATTTGCACCAAGGTTTTGGGAATAGAAGCATCTATTAAAAGCCAAAGGAGAACATGTTTTTTTTTTCTAACCCCTGCCAGACATTTAGGTAGAAAATGCTTTTTATAACCTTCATTAGGTAGCATGCAGGGCTACTTTACAGACCTTAGAGAAGTACCAGGTTGTCACAGAGGGGGATAGCATTAAAACGAATTACCTTTACTTTCTACGGGTCTAGAATTGAAGCGTTGACACACCGCTGTAAAACACACCAGTTCCATGTGCTCTAAAGGTATGATTTTTACATTTCCTAGCTGGAGGTCCACAAAGCCAAGGCCATGCTGGACAACCACCCGCAGTGGGACATCCCTGATACGGAGGAGGAGGACGAAGAGCAGGAGGACAGCGACGGTATAGAGGAGAGCGAAGACGATGACGAGGACAACGACTGAACGTTGATAACACGCCCTCATATGCTCACCCCTGCGCTCCCTCACCTCCAAACAGACTCACTCACTCCTGAACACAGAGCAGCGAATGAAGTGCAGCAACGTCTGCCCGCCATGCACAGAATCACCAGGGCTGTGACCCCATCCCATTCCATTTCTCCTTTTCTACAGAGACCTGTTCACTTTTGTTGCTGGCGGAAGGGAAATCTGTGAATACTTAACCCAGGCGTGTGCGTAAATGTGCGTGTATATGAGTGCGTGTGTGTCATGTTGTGCGTTTGTAACCTAGTATGCGTTTGTGCAGGTATGAAAGATGGGCACTTTGTGGACTGGAGGACCTGTTATCTGGGCTCTTTTCTTCGGGGGGAGATGGGATGCATAACAGCTAATTCTGTTTGCAAAATTAACAAGAACACATGAACACCAAGTGGAGATCACAACATCACTCGTAATTTTTAAAGTCATCCAGCCTTGATGTTTTCCACACCAATGATATTTTCGATTGTGCATTTAAACTGCAGAAGTGTGAGCTTTAGCCCTATCCGTGGGGGATCCCAACCCAGGCGACCAGTGGGCCGTTTGCTCCTTTTCAGCACACGAGTCTCACCATTATCATTGTTTTTCCTGCTGTCACACCAGTCTGTCACTTGTATGTACTTTTACTCACTGTATGCTGGAGACAGGAGTCTGATACTGATCTCCAGCCAGTTGTTAATTATGCCTGTTCCGCATAATCCACATCAAACTCTGTTTTTCTGAGACTTCTGTTGATTGGAAACGGGTGGATCTTGAAATGAATGACCTGAAGTCTAATGAGGGAAAAATGACAAAACTTGCAGTGTTAAAATTTGTTTCTTCTTCATATACTACATAACGTTGTGAGTTTTCAGGCTTTGTAAGGGGCTCAGATACTGACATATATAGGTACATATATACATACTCATGGTTTCTCAGAAAAGTGACTTTCTTTCTCGCTTTTTTTAAAACGATTGTAGCACATTCCAGTGTATACTAATTGTCCAAAAAAGGCCTTATGAATACAACTGAAATACCACAACATACAAATCTTTGGGTGCTATGCACCGGTGGTTCATGGAGGACAGGAAAAAAATTTTGTTTGTTTTTAAAAACCTCATTTTTCCTTTGTTTCATTTTAGAATTAGTCTAGTAATCTTTTGGAAAACATATCACTGGTCTTGCCATGACAGTCTCTAATAAGAGGTTTTTGTTTGCTGAAAAGGGTTAGCGTGTGTGTGTGTGTGCGTGTGCGTGTGTGTTAGATAGGCCCTGTCTTGAAGGGACAGCAGTGTGAGGTCCCCTCGTGCACGAACCGCTGAAAAGTTTCTCAAACAAAAACCATGTGAAATCAACTTGTAGTGTAAGACTGAGCATATTCTCTCTGGTACCTTTTCTCTCGAGTCATTAAAACAGTACAAGCTTAATTTTGTAATTACTGCCATTTCAGGTGGATGGGTTTTGTTTTTGTTTGGTTTTTTTTTTCGTGGCCCACCAAATCTGGAAGATTCTGGTAATTCTTTTCTATCCGAGGAATACAAAGCAGGTCTAGCTAACTAAAAGAACCATCTTTCATTTAGTTTTTGTCTCAGTTAAGCTGTAGTTATAACAAATGTTATGTCTTGTTTTGTTCCATTATAGCTTGTTTGTTTTTTTTCATCTCTTAGACTCACGAGTTTGGACGGGGGGAGGGAGAGTCAGAGCTTCCTTGTGCGGCTCTGTGGGCTCACACTATGTCGACAGTTCGGTTTTTAAAACAAATGATTAATCATTCACCGTAAATATCCACACAATAGTTTATGGTATATATTCTAGTGTGTCATGTTAGTGTAGGGGAGAGAAGGTTTGGATATCTGTAGGTACACTCTCCCAACACCACACACACTCACTGACACGTGCGCTCTACCCTCTGTAATTGTGTCGAAAGCAGGTTTATGCTAACAGGTAATGTACCCTGACTATTTATCGCTCTGCAATAGAATGTAGCATCAGTGATTTGCGCTGTGTGGAAGAACTGCAGTGAGATTAAATACGACATCTCTCCCACGACAGACCTTGTCTTTAGGCGACTGGTCGGCTAGCCGCCTCGGTTTGGACAAATTATCCAGTGACTATCTGCCACTTTTGTTTACAAAGGAACTGTCATTGTAAATGGAAAAAAATATATATATTATTTGTATTTAAAATCATTTCAAATAAAAACTTTTAAATTAGATGGTTTCATTTTTCTCCATGTGCTGTTCGAGACATTATATTACTGCAGGGTTGTGCAGCTGATGTGCATGTCGGTTGTATTTTGTTGTTTTTAATGCTAGTTTCTTAAAGAAGTTGCACCACTGAGGAATATAGCAGTAAGCAGTGGTTGCACACCAATTTCCTATTCATTTGAACCTCTGACTGCATCTGAATATGTGTGGGAATTCCCTGCCAGTAAGTTTAGCAGATTTGGGGCCAGTTTCTCAAGGTACCTCATGACATGGGAGGGAGTCTCTACCTTTCCAAGATATTTGTAATTTTAAAAGGGAAATTTCTGTCAGTAATAAAGAGACAAATTGAGGTCAAATAAGCTAACAAAAATAAATATCAGTGGGACTATAGAACATCGAATTTCGTCGGTTTATCAGTTTGCCTCCAACACGCACTGTATGTCTTTCAAGGAGTGTTCAAGTGCCATCAGAAGAGCTGAGCCTCTCCAGTTTGAGTGCTCT